TGGCTTCTATTTTCTAGTGTTTTGTTGAGGACTTTTGCGTCTGTATTCATAAGGGATATTGGTCTATAGTTGTGTTGTGATGTCTTTCTTTGGCTCTGGTATCAGAGTAATGCTGGCCTCACAGAATGAGTTGGGAAGTGTTCCCTCCTCTGTTTTCTGGAAGAGTTTGTGAAGAATTGGTATTAATTCTTCTCTTAAATGTTTGGTAAAATTTACCCCTGAAGCCATCTCGCCCTGGGTTTTTCTTTGTAGGAAGATTTTTAATTACTAAGTCAATCTCTTTACTTGTTATAGATCTGTCTGAGTTTTCTGTTTATTTTGGAGCCATTTGTAACATAGACAGACTGAAAAGCTGTGGCCAAATTCACTGTCATTTGATTAGGTTTGATTTAAAGTTTTATATTGAAATTTAAAGAAATGAGAAAAAGACTTGTCAGTGTTCTTGAGTTAGGACTGAATTAATGGAATTGTCCCTGCAGTCAGAATCTTCTTAAAAGAGGTCTTACTGAGCAAAGGATGATGCGGAGGGAGGGTTTTTGTTCTTTCGCTGTCATTCCCATATTAACCCCCTTCCTATTTTTTCTACTTCCCTCATAATTTCGTTGCTGTATTCTAGAAGCCTTTGTGGGATCAATAATGAGTAAATATGAATAAGGTAGGAACAACCTACCAAGCGGCACATCTCCCTTTCCAGTGAAATCCAGGACTACCGACCAGTGGAACTGCAGAGCCGGGCTTGAGAACACACCACTTAGGTCTATCTCTATACTACAGTCCTGATTGACCCAATTGTTTGATGTTTCCAGTTCTTGGGCATTACCCCTTGAATGCCATCAGCATACTTCCTCTGGTCTTACAGGGCAGAAATATGTGCAGTTCACTCTTTTGCTTTTATTTCCCAAATACTAGCCAGTTATTCAAATAGCAGTTGATCCACCTTTGTTTGAAACAGGTGGAAAACTTGATTATTCCATGGGGAGTGGAGAACCTAGGGTTCCCTACTTTATGGTTCCGTTTCTTTTCTTTTTATTCCAGTCCTTTTCTGGCAAGCAGCTCAGATGATTCACCATCCATCAGCTTTAAAGACATCTGTTCAGCTATATATAGGCTGCTCCCACAGACCCATTTCGAAACAAATTTAAAATATATTCAATTTGTGAAATTCAATAACAGTGAAGGCATAAAGACTCATGCTTGTACACAAATTGTTATTTTTGTTTAGTTCTTACTGACTTGGGGAGTGGAGAGAAAATCTAAATGGTGATATAGAATGAAATAGATTTCATCAGATTCCTACTCTTTTGAATCTCCTTGGTCTAGCATTGTCTGTGAATATAATCATTTGAACTAGTGTCAGATATTTCTTGGTGAGGGTGGATGTGCATTAAATGTATGGCCTCTGATATATACTCCTGATTTGGGTATCTTCTGCAATGAATACAGAACATATGGCTCTTATGGCATTTACTGAAAGTGAGTTATTAAATGATTTCTTCTAAAATGAATAATTCCAAAGGTCTGGAAACATAAAGGCATTTTATTTAGAGTGTTTAGAATTAAGAGGAATTAAGATAGACTAAGGAAAGGGAAAATCCATATAAATACCCATTTCTTTGTAGTTGCAAGTCTTAGAAGAAGGATCATTGTATATATACATAGCCAAACAGATACATTTCAAAATAAAATAAAGTGTAGGTTGACTACTATAATTCTGAGTTTATTGCTTAGGTCTTTTCTTTTTTTGTCCTTATAAACATTGTTAGAGTTAGCAGGAGAGGGCTATGCAATGTATAAAACAATACATACCTACAATCAAGTTGTAGCAATACCCAAGATAATACCGATGCAGGGTAAATTCTATTATTTGAATGGGGAACTTGGTCAGATTTCAGATAAGCGTGTTTGGAGTTAACTGCTGAGAGGGACAAGATGGAATTTGCGGATAACTGAACTTTAATTTCATTTAGTTTTAGAGATGGAAAAGGTTTTATTAGATAAACCTTCCTCTTTGAACTAGAGCTGTTAAAAAAAAAAAGCTAAATAGGCCTTTACTGTGCTCTCCATAAAAAACTTGAATCATAGGCTTAAATTTTTGCTTTCATGAAGCAAGAAATTTTTCAGTCAAGAAGTTTGCATAATATCCCTTATGCCCCTATCTGTATATGGTTTATTTAGGAGAGCTGCTGATTGATCTTTCAAAATTATTCTTGGGTAATAGCCATAGTTTTCATTAGTTATTGTTTCTTTGAAATGTTCAGACTTATTGAATTGCATTTAGATTTCTCTATTCTCTGAAATCAAATTAATTTGTTATATTTAATCATTTTCTAATAGCTCATCTTACAGTGGGCCTTAGAAACACCATTAAAGATGACGAATATTTGCCCTTTTTTCCCCTCTTACTTTATTCTGCCTGGCCCTCATCTTTTTTCCCTCCAAGGAGACATATGGAATGGTATTAAGTGCCCACACTTTAGTGTCACAGAGACTTGGGTGTGAATCCTCATTCCAGCACTTTTGAGCTATATGACCTAAGGCAAAATTTTAAAGGTCTCATCCTTAGTACATCTGTAAAATGGAGATGATAATTGTACCATCCTCACAGGACTTTTTTTTTTTTTTTTTTTTAAGTAAGTTAAAAGCATGTCAGCCACTTAACAAAGGGCATGACACATCATAGCAACACTCAGTGACTCCTATTATTATTTGTATTTTATTGTTATTATAATTATTATTATGCTGATCTATGGTTATAATTTATTCTGAAATCAAGTTCCTAGATTAATTTAAATTTATTTTACTGAAGTTGGTTACCCAAACTCCTTTGACCCTGGCCTGAACCATCCATTTTCCTCAGCCCCTTTGTCTGTCTCACCAGAGAATGAACCAGGGTGATCACATTCCATACCTTTTATCTCAGCAGCACAGGCTTCCAGAAGACCCTGGAGAAGCAGAGAATTAAGGAGCCCAGCTTCTGGAATCAGAATGCTTGGGTTCAAATCCTGCTAACCTCTTATTAGTGGGGTAACCTTAGGTAAATTACTTAATCTCTCTGGGCTTCATTTTCCATACCTGTAAAATAGGATTAATAATGCCTATTTTAGGCATTATTTTCTCTCCATGGGGGTCTTATAAAGATTAAATGAGTTAAAACATGAGAGACAGAACAGTGTCTGGCACAGAGCACATGTTCTATAAATGTTAGCTACTAGTGTGGCTGTTGCTGTTTTTATCTATTTTATTCTGCAAGCTTTTGTTATTAACAGTGTTAATTTGTTTAAAAAAAATAGTGAGAACCTCCTGATTAGATTTCTCAGATTGTATGTATTATCATTTTAAGATGCAATTCAATTCAAGAAACAATTATTAAATGCCTCCTGTGTATTAAGTGCTATGAGGGAGCATGTATTAATAAGGTATATTCCCTGCCCTCCAGGAGTTTATAAACTGGTAGGAGAGGTAAGATATATTCAAGGGGTAACTATTACCCCTTGAAGGGCAAAATATTACTATACTTTTTATAACATAAAAGGTAGCTCACAGGAGGGAAGCCTAGAGTAATTCTGAATGATGGGGAGTGAGCCGGGAAGGTCAGCTGAAGAGGGTAGGCATTTCCAGGTGTAGTGAATAAAGAGCTGGGCAAGTACATGGTACTTGAGGAAGAGTAATGGGACAGCCTTGATCGGAGTGACTTAGAATGGGAGAGACACAGGACAAGTAAGGACACAGCCAGTGAGCTATCACTGCAACATGGGACAATGTGGTGTGGTAAACTTGATGAGAGAGGAGTGTGAGGAGGTGGAGGAGTTGAAGTTGGCTCAAAAATTTTAATATTAGTACTTGGGGGGATAGTGATAGCATTAAAGAAATAAAAAGGATGGGAAGTGGGTTAGGTTTTTGGGAGAAAGACAGCTTCTACTTTGGACCTGCTGAATTTGAAATGTAGTCTGGAGTCTAGTTATGGTTCTGCCATTCTTGGAGGCCTTCTTAAAAACTGCTCTGTCAATTGGAAAGGATAGATATTACGATAATATGATTCCTAATAGATGCAGGTCCCCCTCAGATGTGACTTGCAGGGACCTTATAATTGAAGACTTATTATGTAAGGGACTTTCCTTGGCCATTGGGATCTTCTTAACCCTCCTTCTCTGAACATTTTCTCACTTAGGCTCTGAATGCAGGCTGTGCCATCGTCATTCTGCATGGTGTGCAGTGGTAATACCCTGTAGGTTTCATTGGTATTTGAAATAGAGATAATTGACTTTTAACTTAAAAAAAAAAATCCCTATTGAGTTGTTTCATTAAGTGGTGTTGCCAGAGTGGAAACAGGAGAAACACCTATCACCCTCCCCTAGCCCGGATGTGCTTTGAATCATCTAGCCTGGTTGTTTCACCTCAACAGAGAAAGGCTGTGAAGTGAAGAGGAAGAGGAAGAAAAGAGTTAGATAAATGGTAGACTATTTTCTGATCTAGAGAAATGCATTGCTTGGTGAAAATAAGTATAATTTTTAGATAACAAAAGAAAAGATTTCACAAATAACTAGTACTTCCTGATCTATATGAATACTGTATCCTTCATTATACTTACGGTGGTAAACATTGGCTACCAGAAGAAAGTGTAGAACATCTAGAAAGCTTTTTCTGCTGCGTGGTGGTCCTCATTATATTTTCTTTGAGTTAAGAATTTGTGTTTTTTTTAGTTTTTGGAGGAGGACGCAGTGTTGTAGGAGGTTTTGAGCAAGAGGCAAGACTTTAGTACTTTGTGGATTGTTATCGCCCTGCAAGACCCTTCGCAACTTCCTCTCGCCGCCCACAGCAGAATACGGAAACCCTGCCGTATCAGGCCACTTCTGCAATTACAGACAGTCACAATTAAAGGGGATCCATCTTTCACACTACTCCCTTCTATTTTGAGGCTTTCTTTGCTTTTGAAAATGTGTCTTTTGTGGTGGAATGCCCGACTGAGCCTTCATCTCTCCTCTCTTTTTGCTGCCTTGCAGTGCTGCAGTTGAAGCTCCAGCAGCGCCGGACGCGGGAAGAACTGGTGAGCCAAGGGATCATGCCGCGTAAGTACCACTCCTTCTCTTTCAGCATTTGGTAGAGTTGCTTTTAGGACATGGTTGTGTGTACCCAGCATGCCACGGGAAGCATCTACCGGAAAACGAGGGCAGCAGGTTTCATTTTTCAGTCTTTTCTTGTACTTTTCCAAGTTCAGGGACTCTCAATTACTACTAGTTAAGATAACTGCACTAATTGATCAAGTTCAGTGAAACAGACAGCATTAAGTTTAACAGTGCCATTGAATCATCCTTAGCTTTTGAGTTGTACCTTTAAGAGAGTTTCTACGCCCTGTTACACTTCCCTTTATAGGAGGAGCAGATCTTGAGCTGGGGTATTGTGAGGAAGAACCCACTTCTTGCATATATTTGCCTTAGTGTTCAGGTTCTTGGAAAGAGAAAATCCTTTTTTACCTGGTATTTTGAATCAACTACATTTTTATTTGGAGTGAGATCCTCAGATACCCTAAGGCTGGCATGGGTGTGAATGTGCTTGAATGGAGTCCTTGATCGGGTTAGTGCAGAGCTGGGCTTAGTGGGTGCAGAACTGCATGCATCTCTTGGGGAGATATGAAACCAGCCTCGGAATCTGTTAGAAGTAAGAAAATTTGCTTTTAATACCAACAGCGTTATAAACTGAGTGGAAGCTGGAGCCAGCAAGGTTTTGCTCTTTTTGACATTTCTTTTTAAGTCATCAGCAGAGAGCTTAGGCTCTCCCTCTTGTTTCGTTTCTCTTTGTGTGTTATCACTGCTTGCTACACCCTAATGAATTAAAAATAAAAAGTTATATAACATATATGTTGTATGTCATACAGAATATTGTCATACAACAGCTTCTAGCTTCATAGTGGGAGAACCGATGTTTTTTTACCTTAACCCAATGCCTGCTGACCCACTGCCACTGTATTTTCCTAATGCTTATTCACTCATTCATTCAAAATATTTGAGTGCCTAATATGTACCTGTTGATACAGCAAGATAAATCCAGTTCCTGCTCTCAGGAGTTTTATGTTTAGAAGGAGAAGACTGATAATAAACAAGGAGACAAACAAACATAAATAAACAAGATGATTTCAGAGCATGGTAAGTGCTCTGAAGTAAATTAACTGGTTGGCGTGTTAGCAAGTAATAGGAATGAGATGGGGTCACTTTAGATAACATGGTCAGGAAAGGCCTCCCTGAGAAGGAAATATTTGAGCTGAGATCTGAAGGATGAGATGGAGGTCAGCCATTCAGAAGCAGGAAGAGGGCCCAGGGAAAAGGAAAAGCAAATACCAGGGCCTAGTGCAGGCAAGAGCCTGGCATGTTTGAAAACATCAAGGAAGCCGATGTGGCTGGGGCCTGGTAAGTGAAGGCAAATTAAGATTGGCAAGGTGGGCAGGGCCAGAGTGAGGGCCTTATAAACCACGTGGAGGAGGTGGATTTTATTTTATTTTATTTTATTTTTTATTTTATTTTTTTTTTTAAAGATTTTATTTATTTTATTTTTCCCCCCAAAGCCCCAGTGGATAGTTGTGTGTCGTAGCTGCACATCCTTCTAGTTGCTGTATGTGGGACTCGGCCTCAGGATGAACGGAGAAGTGGTGCCTCGATGCGCACCCGGGATCCGAACCCGGGCCACCAGCATCGCAGCGCGCGCACTTAACCACCAAGCCACAGGGCCGGCCCATGGATTTTATTTTAAGTACAATGGGAAGCCATTGAAAGCTTTTGAGCAAATGAGGATGGGATTTGATTTGTCATGGTAGTGGCAGGTCCATTTCTAAGCAAGTATAAAGAGTCTGAGGTCTGTTTCTATCCTAAGCATCGGCCAGGGGACTTTAGTCTCAAATTCATCTTTTTGTTTACTGCAATTAACTACTGAATCATTTACCCATGTTATGCTATCCTCGACTTCCAGTGAAGGACTCCCCACCTCCAACCCTTAAAGAGTCAGAGCAGATGGCTTATGCAGTGGATCAGTAATGTCATCAGGTAGGGGAATGCTGTGCCTTAAAAACCCTCCAGATCTGCCAATCTACAAACTTTTGTAGAGGAACAAGTTACCCAGCATCTCATCTACTTGTCCCTTTCACCAAGGACGTCACAAGTTTAGTGTCTACTTTGTGCCCAGGGTAGTCCTAGATGCTATAGAGATTAAGGAAATACAAGGCATAGTACCTGCCCTCAGACATTTAACAGTTTATTTGGGTAGCTAAAATTTGCCTATACACAAAATAAAGAGCAATTCAGTATTTATCTGTGGGGTGCTGACTGTAATTACAGTACTGGTTCTAAGAGCATAATGCGACTTGTCAGGATCTGTAATACGTTCAGGATCTAAAAGCCATGCAGAGGGTGAGTGCCCTGCATTCTTCTTCCTGCCTTTCATTTGATATCAGGGGCTACTGGAGATCACTATTTAATAGGATTTCTCAAGTACAGTCTCCTTGCCAGCATTTCTTGTAGTATTCCATGTTAAGACAAGTGATGCTTCAGTTACTGCGGTTATCTGCTTATATGTTTCTCTCTCCAACTAGACTGTGAACTCCTTGAGAAAGTATCTTATTTATATTTCTGTCCCCAGTGCCTGGCACTGAATGAATGAATGAAGACAGCCGGTTGTAAAGTGTGATGTGTGTGTGAGAGAGAGAGCACAACAGAAAATGACAGACAGACAGACAGACAGAAACAGATACCACTCTGTTGCAAACTTGTTGGAAATCTAGGCATGGAATTGAAACAGTGCTCCTGATCTGTCAGGTGCCATCTTCCACCAACCCCCTTCTCACCCTCCACTCCACATCTTTCAAAGAAAATATGGGCAGTTCTAGGGGCAGATCATGAATGATCATCAAGTTGTTCCTGGAGATTTGGAGACCTGAAAAAGTAACGTCTGGTTTGAAGTGCCCATCTCCATTACCATCTTGCTGGCCTGAGGTGTTTCTGACAAGTGCCTTTATATTTAATTTTGTTGTACAACTTAGGAAGCAGATAGGGCCCTCAAACCAGGGAAGGGAGCAGTGTAGTCATGGCTGTATTCTGCCTTATCATTTCTGTGTTTATATCTATTATCAAATTTTTCTCATCCCAGTCTTTTTTCTAGCTCTAGGAAGAAAAACCCATCTACTTCATTTCCTGGAATACTCAGACACAGTTCCCATGTAGGACTGGCTTTCAGTTCTGACATCATGTTTGTAGGACACAATGTCTTCAATGGCTCCCTTGCTTTCAGGGTTCTTCATGTTTCTTCATATTGTTGGAAGTTGGGGTATGGCCTTTCCATAATGTTCAAGGAGTTAAAGAGTCTCTCGTTCCTACATACCTCTCTCTGCTGCTTGATATGCTCTATTCATGGCATCCAAACTGTAGGGTATAACAGTTGGTTTCTGATATGTTTTTGTTTTTTTTGTTTTTTTTTTTTTTCAGTAGTGGGATGGCTGGATCATAGGGCATCTCTATTTTTAATTCTTTGAGGAATCTCCATACCGTTTTCCATAGAGGCTGCACCAATTTGCATTCCCACCAGCTGTGTATGAGGGTTCCTGTTTCTCCACATCCTCTCCAACATTTGTTGTTTTTTGTCTTGGTGAT